AGATGAACCATTGTTATGATATTTTTAGTTTTTAATTAATTATTTTGACTTTGATTTGATTTGATTTGTGGATGTTTATTATTGTTTTATCGTTCTTTTCAATTGATTGATCACCAATTGAATTGTTAATGGATTTTATTATTATCGAGAAAGACAATAATATTGAAGCACATTATAATAAATATTGTAAAATTCGATAGAGAATATAGATATGAATAAATCTAAGTGTAGAACATTGGTTGACAACAATGGTTGACAACCATGTGTTGTCAAAATCCTAACATGTGATATAGAAAATAATTTTTTAAAATGGATGGATATGATGATGTCAAATAGGATGTTGTCAACCAATGTTGTACATGTAGCATGATTTTAGAGATATACTTTTATGCTTTATATGGTTTCAATAGGTGTTATAGTGTTTGTTAATGTATTTATCATGTTTGCATCTTTCATCGAGATATAGGAGGGTCACATGATGAGAATAGATTTGATCGCTATTGAGATAGACTTTCAATTAGATTAGGAACATTGACCAATATGAATGATTTCAAATTGGCACTTTGATTGTTAAACTAAAAATGGAATAGAAATGGAGATTCGACATCTTAGCAATGTATCTCACATATTTGTAACACAAATTTACTTACTTTTATAAGTTTAATTGATAATTTAGTGACTAGTATAGAAAAATCAAAATATATTTACTATTCGATTAAGGTTAATATTAATTTGAACCCAATTGAATACTTAGTTCTCGTGGGTTCGACACTCTATTCATCACTTTATTATTTGTTCACAATCTCATTCACTTGCGGGAAATCAAATGATCATATACAAAACATTAAGAGCTTGTTTGGGAGGGATTAAAATCAGATTAAAATTGAAAATATAGCTGTTATTGTTGACTTTTATTAGACGAGTGGGACCGAATAACGGCCATATTTTCAATTTTAATCCCTCCCGAACAGTGCCTAAATATATTCTTCTTGTAAAAAGAATAACCTAATTCGATTTTGATTCACCCAATGATGAGAATCCAGTGAATGTATCATTTAATTTACTTTTCAAATCAGGTATTGGAATAAGTACCTAATTTGAAAAGTAAATTCTAATTCTGATTTAGAACCAGAAAGACATCATGTTTTACGACCGAATGAAATTCTATTAGATTTTGATAAAAGTTTATAATGAATTATTAGGGCACATGTTCTGTACTCGACATTTGCACTAATAGCCCGTTACTAACTAATGCTAGTCACCGTTTGAGTTAGAACCATAAAGACATCAAGTTTTACAACCGAATTTGACTGATAGCATATTACTGGAATTCTAAACGTACAATTGTATTCACAAGCTGTTAAACAAGTAAACTACATAGGGAGTGTTTGACACTCATTTTAATGGATTGAAAAATTTTGGAATAGTGATTGATGGGAGAATGTGTGGTGGAAAAATGATGAAAAGTTTTAGATTTGTGTGTAATATTATTTTATTTGGAGATTGTGTGGTTGAAATGAAAAAAGAGAATGAGAATGAGAAAGAGAATGGGTGCCAAACAGGGGCATAATCTCTCGACTTGCTCAAATTCTTCCTCTGAAACAGCAATTCCCAACCATTTGGATGGAAAAGACTGTACCTACCTTAACATTCTTACTCTATAATGGAAGCATTACCACAAGCCTTATAGGGGTGTTCTGTCACTAGAAAAGATAAATCCAACCTTGCCGTTGAAGATACCTTATAATCTCTATGCATTAGAAACCGTAGCACGGAGATATTAAGAGCAGAACAAATGAAAGCCACTAGACAAGAACCTCAATCACCAGACCACATATAGGTGACTATTAATGATGGACCATATCCACCAAGTGGTTGTGGCTCTTTCCATTATATAAGGGGCTCTTTTCTTTGTGTTTCAACTTTGTGTTCTGAGTATTGAATTCATTTTGGGTTTTAACTTATTTTCAAAAACGCGTTTTCGAAAACAAGAAACAGAACGCGTTTTCACTGTTTTGAAAAATCGAAAATAGAAAACGACTTGAAAATGATAAAGAGAACATACCCTTAGTATTTGTTTCCATCTTTTTGGGTACAAGAATATGCATGATNAACTAAAAATGGAATAGAAATGGGGATTCGACATCTTTGCAATGTATCTCACATATTTGTAACACAAATTTACTTACTTTTATAAGTTTAATTGATAATTTAGTGACTAGTATAGAAAAATCAAAATATATTTGCTATTCGATTAAGGTTAATATTAATTTGAACCCAATTGAATACTTAGTTCTCGTGGGTTCGACACTCTATTCATCACTTTATTATTTGTTCACAATCTCGTTCACTTGCGGGAAATCAAATGATCATATACAAAACATTAAGAGCTTGTTTGGGAGGGATTAAAATCAGATTAAAATTGAAAATATAGCTGTTATTGTTGACTTTTATTAGACGAGTGGGACCGAATAACGGCCATATTTTCAATTTTAATCCCTCCCGAACAGTGCCTAAATATATTCTTCTTGTAAAAAGAATAACCTAATTCGATTTTGATTCACCCAATGATGAGAATCCAGTGAATGTATCATTTAATTTACTTTTCAAATCAGGTATTGGAATAAGTACCTAATTTGAAAAGTAAATTCTAATTCTGATTTAGAACCAGAAAGACATCATGTTTTACGACCGAATGAAATTCTATTAGATTTTGATAAAAGTTTATAATGAATTATTAGGGCACATGTTCTGTACTCGACATTTGCACTAATAGCCCGTTACTAACTAATGCTAGTCACCGTTTGAGTTAGAACCATAAAGACATCAAGTTTTACAACCGAATTTGACTGATAACATATTACTGGAATTCTAAACGTACAATTGTATTCACAAGCTGTTAAACAAGTAAACTACATAATCTCTCGACTTGCTCAAATTCTTCCTCTGAAACAGCAATTCCCAACCATTTGGATGGAAAAGACTGTACCTACCTTAACATTCTTACTCTATAATGGAAGCATTACCACAAGCCTTGTAGGGGTGTTCTGTCACTAGAAAAGATAAATCCAACCTTGCCGTTGAAGATACCTTATAATCTCTATGCATTAGAAACCGTAGCACAGAGATATTGAGAGCAGAACAAATGAAAGCCACTAGACAAGAACCTCAATCACCAGACCACATATAGGTGACTATTAATGATGGACCATATCCACCAAGTGGTTGTGGCTCTTTCCATTATATAAGGGGCTCTTTTCTTTGTATTTCAACTTTGTGTTCTGAGTATTGAATTCATTTTGGGTTTTAACTTATTTTCAAAAACGCGTTTTCGAAAACAAGAAATAGAACGCGTTTTCACTGTTTTGAAAAATCGAAAACAGAAAACGACTTGAAAATGATAAAGAGAACATACCCTTAGTATTTGTTTCCATCCTTTTGGGTACAAGAATATGCATGATTGGCCAGGGCAGCCATATGCTCATTTTTCCTACAACAATTTGATGACTGGATCTACTCTCAGTTGCACATAATCTATGAAGTATTGATATCTAACCAAAAGTAGATTCTTTTTTAAACCATCTACATATGTTTGTTTCTCAAGGAGACAGATTCCTTTTCCAGAGTGGAAAAATATATTGGGAAAAGAAATTGTGAAGACATGTTTTATTCTACTAGAGTGACGCCTTAGATGCCCGTCAATAATGAACTGTGTTACCATCCCGTAGACCAACACCTAACTGCAACCAAAAATCCTATAAAGGAGTAAAAGGACACGCAAACAGAATGTTTCCGGTAGCAGATCCGAGGCATTGATGGATTCTCGGCCCATGCAGGGATGGAGCGACAAAAGTTTTGGGAGTATTATATTTCACATTGATGTAGAATTGTAACAACATAATTTCGTTGTCTTGATTGGGTTCATCACGAAACATTTATAAGTAAAATGTTCACAATGCTTCAAGCATCATCTATATATGTACCTTCAAACTATGGAATAATAACAAGAAGCAAAGCCTATATTACTCGGATCATCTCGATCAAAACCAAGAGCTAAATTCGTTTAGTAAAGTCCACAAATCTGCCACATTGCAAAATGAGCCATTTTGAACAAGTTGCATGGAAAATTAAGAGGATTCATTTGAATTATGGTCGTAAGTTTGCACAGCAAGAGTCCATTGCATCAGAACATATCATTAGCATCTCAAAGTTCAAACAAATCCTCATCAGAGGAAGCTTACCGATGCAATTTTGTCATTCGGGAAAATAATAATTTGCGAGCTCTCAAGTTGAAACTGATTGTATATGAAGCCTTCAAAATCAGTGTTCTTAAAAAATCGCCCGCAGAACATGACCTTCTCCCTTAGCCATGTTTTATGCTTTTTAATGACCCACTTAGGCTCGTAAAAGCTCGAAACTTGAAACATAATGGCACATATAAACAGGTGCAGGTGTGCTCGCAAGACAAAAACAGGGCACGTCCATAAGCACCAACCTCTTCAATCTTCACAGACCAGAACTAAAAAAAGTCAAATGAAGACAAATCGTCAACATAAACGCATACTAATTTACTAATTTCGTTTAATTGAATAAGAATTTCGTAGTGTGTTAAAGTTGCTAGACCAACACATACCAAACGCTCGAATTCTATCAATATTTGGATTATTGAATCTGCTATAATTTCTACTGATACTGGTTTTAAAAGAAGAAAAATGCTCTAACAAGTCATAAACCAAACGCATAAAATAGCCACAGAATTGAAATTTCATTGACAAATCACTGTACTTGAAAAATTACAGAACCTGCAGTTCAAGAAAAGTAAACAAACCTTCTCTACAACACTAAAATAAACGCAAACTAAACCAATTGACCTAATTTCTAAACTGTGACAAGAAACCCAAAAATTCATTCAAGAGCTAGTGAATTTAGTCACCGCCTTAGTCCCTTCAGAAACAGCGTGCTTAGCCAACTCTCCAGGCAGAACCAATCTCACAGCAGTCTGGATTTCCCGAGAAGTGATGGTGGGCTTCTTGTTATACCTGGCGAGCCTGGAAGCCTCCTGAGCCAATTTCTCAAAAATATCATTGATGAAGCTGTTCATGATCCCCATAGCCTTGCTGGAAATCCCGATATCAGGATGGACCTGTTTCAGCACCTTGAAGATATAGATCTTGTAGGTCTCAACACTCTTCTTCACCCGCTTCTTCTTCTTGTCTCCTGCCGCGGCGCCACTTTGAAACCCGTTAAAGAAAGGCCGGAATGGCTTTTTCTCCGCCGGAGCCTTCTCAGCTGCCGGAGCCTTCTCGGAGGCAGGCTTCTTCTCAGCTGGTTTCTTCTCCGCCTTTGGTGCCATTTCTTCTCTTTCTTACTTTGAAGATTAGGGATCTCTTGTTGAATGAATACTATCATTAGGGGCAGGGCAAGGTGCTGCTTATATAGAAATTTTCTACTTTATGGTAATTGGTGGGTTTGAAGAGACGCGGATCGCGGGTCATATCCGTTGATTAGTCAGTATATGCAACGCTGGAGATTGTGGTGTTAAATGCTTTGGACCGAGTACGGCCAACAGATTATAAACTCTGGTACCTTAAAAAGCCTCGTTTTTTGGCGATGACCCGAGTCGACCCTATGTCAACCCAAAATGGCCCGTCTCGATAAGATCTATTCAATCGTACCAAATGAGCAGCATAAAACACAGCGTACGAGAAGTTATCATTCGTTGAAGTTATCATGAACGTACAGTATAAATTTCATGAATTTATAGTTCACTTCACTCTGATACTTAACCTGGTTTGATTTAATTAAAATTGTATTTTTAATAGTATTGAAAATTGATATAAATTAAAGAAATGTATTTTTGACTTTAAATTAATAGACTTTTAGATAGCACTTTTATTTCCAATGTAAGTACAAAATTATAATTTCGTTATGATATAAATCAAATATTATCATATATCAATAGGTGTAGGGATAGTTTTTGGAATAAAATCGGATCAACCGATCTAATCCAAATACCATCAACCTAAACATAAATCAATTGATCTAACATTAGCCAGTGTTTGAAATATTTTTTTCTCACTCATTTTCAAAAATATATACTAAAAAAATTCATTTTATACTAAAATACTTCTCAAAAAATTAACTACACAAGGAGTAAATAAAACTCAAATTGTGACGAAAGGGGCATAACTATCGTGCATAATATGTGGAAGTATATCAGGAAAGGATGGAGCGACTTTCATAATAGATTGGCTTTTGTGGTGGGGAAAGGGACGAATGTCGAATTTTGGGACGATTGTTGGTGTGGGGATCAAATATTAAAAGTGCAGTTTCCTTCTTTACGTCGCATTGCCTTGAAGCCTTCAGTTATGGTGAGTGATGCTATGGATATATCTAATGGAAATTCTAACTGGAACATTGCTTTCAGGAGGGGCGGAACTGGATGATTATGCATTGTTTTTAACATCTCTGTATAATGTGCACATTCAGGTAGGAGATGATGACTATAGCAGGTGGAGGGCGACACGGAATTGTTTGTTTATTGTTCGTACTTATTTCAGATCTCTATTGGAACCTGTGGAAAACTCATTCCTCTGACAAAGGGTCTGGCAAAGTAAATTACCTCCAATGGTGGCCTTTTTACTGTAGAACGGTGGTGAGGGGACAAGTGTTAACGGTGAATAATATTCGGAAAAATGGCTATTGTATTACAGAGTGGTGCTATATGTGTAAGAGGGATGGCGAGACAATCGATCATTTATTCATTCATTATGACGGTGTTCGTTGGATGTGGAATAATGTTCTGGCTTCGCGACATATGAGTTGGGTGTTGCCAATGTGTATCAAAGAGGTTGTGTGGGCATGAAAGAGAAAATTTCGAGATAAGAATAGCAAGCTTATTTGGGATCTCATCTCAGGATGCATCGTTTGGTGTGTGGAGAGAACGAAATGGCAGATGTTTTGAAGACCAAATACGGACAATGAAGCAATTTGGGGAATTGTTTTACGTGGCTTTATATAATTGGTTTAAGGCAGTAACAATTAGTTCGATAGAAGGGTTGCCAAATTTTTTTATCGTTTCTATCTTATTTAAACTAATAATGCACTTCTTGAGTATTATCTTTTGATTTTCATTTATAAAATTACGTGATTATCTATAAAAAAAACTATCTTGCATAATATAATATACTACATTCTTTCAATATTTAACGACAACATATCATATATTACTTTTTACCATATACATAATCGATGCTAAACAATTAAATCCACATCAAATAACTATAAATATATAAGGATTTGAACCATTCATTTTAAAAAGATTATTATTTTAATATGGAATCCCAAATTTTAATATAATATTGAAATTCATTAATCTCGAAACAAATAAACAAATCGATCCAATTAAAACTCAAATGAAACATGAATTTTAAGATTTTTCTCCTCGGACAAGCAATCACATACCAAATAAAAATCAACATATAAGAACTTGAACTACTCCTCTATAAAGTTAATATTTTAAAATGAAATATCAAGTCTTACTAATCCCTGCCCTTGTTTGTCATCCATTTTGTCAAAAATTGTTTGCTACAGTAAACAATCTCCACCACATATTCACTAAATAAAATATTTTACACACAAACCAATAAAATTATTTTACTTTACAACCACACATTCTCCAAAAAATACTATTCAAAACTCTATTTCTTCTCCCAAAATGACAGACCTATGTCAAAAAAACATATTTCACTATTTCAAAAAAAGAAGATTCTTTTTACTTTTTATCTTTTTCTTACTATATAAATGTAAATCGGTATATAACTCCGTACATAAAAATAATTTTACAGTCTAGCAACCTATTATTGTTCAAATCTTACATCATCTAAAACCAAGTATTATTATCCATCACTCGAGTAAGTTGGTCTCTAGCTCGTAGTAATCAACTTATATTAAGTTACCTTAACATGTTTGAATGTTTCAACTGGACCTGATGTCGAACATTGCATGTTATCATGTCGATGCTCATTTGTCTTGATCAAAATAATATAATCATCTACTCGCCGAGAATAGCTCTTTTTAGAAAAAAAAAATCAAAATCATGAACCCTAGTGATGAACCCTATAGATATAATAATGAATCAAATAGAATGGCAAAAATAATTAATACTATAGATTTTAAATTTATTATAAATGTCCCGAGTTTTAATGGATTTCCTATTACTGACAAGTGCCACAATCAGCATTTTGAAGACGGATGTGTTGAACGGTCCACGTATATGCACCGATAGCCTATTACTGACAAATACCACAATAACCATTTGACATTGAAGATATTGCATTACAAACCACTTCATTTCAATAAATAGATGCTATTTGCACAGGTAACAATTTACTCAAAATATATTGCTTCAAAGGCAATTCTCCTCTATTTTTTTTGGATCGAAAGAGTGTACTCAGCTGGGGTTCAGATTCTAAATGAATATGCCCCGTTTATAAGAATGATACTATATTTGTTGTAACATAAATTTAAAAGTTTTAAATTTCAAAATTAAGATCATTTTTTGAACCTTGAGGGGTTGCTCAATTGATTAGGCATTGAATTTGATTCACAATGGTCACTAGTTCGAATCCTCTTAGGACCACAAAGGTGAGTATCCCACAATAAACTTCAGGATCCCATGAAATTAGTCGAGGTGCACGCAATCTAGCCCAGACATCCACGGTTATAAAAAAAAAATTAAGACCATTTTTATTTTCAGTTTTCATTTTAATTTAATACATAATTAAAACTCGTAATTTCATTGTGTAAGTTATATTTTAATTGGAATAATTCTCATTATTGTAGGGTCAAGTTTTGCACTATAAAAGTGAGGAGATTTTATATTTTCCATACAACTAGAAAACACAAGTTAAAGAATTATTCTCCAGTATACCTTTCATATTATATTTTCATATTTTTGATAACCCAAGGCTCGTTATCTTCCTATGGTCGTGCCCGTAGAAGTAGAACCAACTATGAGCCATATGGATTTTATCTTGGACCCGTATAGTGCCAAAAATATCGGCACGAAGAAGGACAACACAACTTTATGATAGCGTTCTTGATGTGGCTCTGTCAGGCTCGTTTTCTATGTTGAGTTATATGATTATTGTTGAATTATTGTTTATCAATAAACATATAATTCAACAATAACATAAAGAGAGTTAAAAAGCAAGCCTTAGGAAGTCGTGTCAAGGTCACTGTCCTAAAATCGTGTTGTCTCCCCTTCGTACGAGTACTTTCAACACTACACGATTTCAAGATAAAACTCATGTGGCTCACAACTGATTCTCCTACTATGAGCACGGCCACAGAGAAATAAAGAACAAGTCTCTATCGTATTACCAAAAGTACAAAAATATAAATGTATATAAAATATTCTTTCAAGTTGTGGTTTTTAATATATATACAACAATGAAATTTAATCATCTTTTATAGGTAAATTTTCAACCCCCACATTTATACGATTAAAACATAAGTTACAATATGTATTATGGTGTTTTAATTTTATGTTAAAACTGAAAATTAAAAAGGTTTTAATTTTGAAAGGTTGAAACTTTATTTTATGTTACAACACTATCTCACGTTGGAAGAGGAAAAGAATAGAAAACTAACTTCATTTGTTGCTTTAGATCTTCCAGGTTCTGCTAGATCTAACAATGAACTAAATGAAGTAAAAGCAAAGGATGGATGTAACCAAACCCAAATTTATCAAGAACAAGACATGATTTGTTGTTGCGCCATATAAGAATTTGGTAAGAGTCGTGAACACACCTTTTCTTGATGGGGGCTAATGCGTGCTTACATAATCTTCAAAGTATTCATCTGTATCACAAAGAAAACAATATGAGAGAAATATATGAGAAGAAAACTTTGCTAACCACAATAAGATGGGGCAAAAACATATTGAGACCCTAGGACTAGACAAAAGAGAGTATGTCCATCAATATGGGATTCCAAAGCAGTAGCAAAAACAACAAACTATGCCTTATTTGCCATAAATTTGGAGTCGACTACATAAATCATTCTCCTCAACAACACAGAAGATAAACTCCATACGGTTCATTGACAGATCTATTTGAAGAATATAAAATTTTTCATAGCATAGAATCAACACAATCAAAGCATAAAACGTATTTAGGACAAGGCAACGTAGTGAACCAAGTGTCAACTTGATAAACTCAAGAATTTGCCATTAAGTATGAAATCACACAATTGGACATAGATAGTGAAGCTCATATAAGAAATCAAAGGATAGGCAATATGAGAAGAGCACCATACAAACGACACACGAGTCTCAACTTCAACCAATGT